CACTGGCCTGGTTTAAGGCCCTACAACAGGCCTCTGTGACACCTGCCCCTTTGCAGGGCTCTGGCCCAGGCGACCAGGACTACTGTCTACATTGTGGACATTAAGGACATAGAGTCCACAGCTCGGTGAGTGCCCGCAGGCTCAGTGGTTGGTGAGGAAGAGGAGCAGCAGGAGGGGCTGCTGGGTGGTTCTAGGCTCCTGTTAACGCTTCACCCCTGCCCATTCCAGGGACCGAGGCCGTTCCTACCTCGATGCCTACTTTGTCTTCTCAAATGGGTCGGCCCTGACAATTGATGAGCTGAGCGTGTGAGTGGGACTGCCCATGGGGGTGGGGCAGGAAGGTGACCAGGAAGCCCGGGGGATGCCAATGTCCCTTGGGCCTGAGCGGGGCTCTGTGGACAGGATGATCCGGGAAGATCGGGATGCAGAGGCACAGCTGGTGCAGCTGGGGCTGGTGGTGCTGGTGAGTGGCCGCAGGAAGAAAGCAGTGGGGGAGGGGGTGAGGTGTGTCTGTGGACCCCAGAGCCTCCTTCACACTCTTTCTCTAGGGCTCCCAGGCTAACCAGAACTCAGATTTGCCGAAGGTGCTCAGTAGCGTCATCATAGGATTGGGAGTGGCTTTGCTGCTGGTCATTGTGATCATGACCATGGCCCTCCTGTGTACCCGAAAGAGGTAACATTCTCATCATCCTGTGTCTCCAACCCCACCTCTGCCCGCCCCCAGCCATAAAGGAGAGGGGGGTAAATAGAGCTTGGGTTTAGGTGTCAGGTATACCAGTATTCAATCCCCATTGACCTGTTGTGACATCTTGAGTCATCTCCCCTTCTCAAGCCTCAGTTTCCTCATCTGCATAATGGGCATGAGACTAGATTCCTCAAAGTCCTCAAGGAAGCAATGTGCATCTCACACCCAGCAAGATGTCTGGCACCTAAAATGCACTTAATAAATGCTGTTTCTTTTTCCTTTTCCAATCATTTGCAGTCAGCAGTCACATCTGGGTTTGAGTCTAGGCCTTGGCACTAGTCAACTGTGTGGCCTTTGGCAAATCTTTTTCCTTCTTTGACAGTTACTTGTACACTGCAAAATGGAGGGAATCCTCTTACTTGTCAGGGTTGTTCTGAAGTCACACTCCCAGGGCCTGCACTGGACACATAGTGGGTGTGCAGGGAAAGTAGTGATCCCTTTCCTGGTTCCCCACAGCTACCGCCGGAAGCTTCGGGCTATAAAGGCTGCCAAGGAGGCCCGGAAAACAGCAGCAGGGGTGATGCCCTCAACCTCTGCCATCCCTGGGACTAATATGTACACTGCTGAGCGGTGAGTGGGACTCAAAGGGTGAGTAAGAGGCCCCATGGGGCGGCTGAGGCACACGCCACTTGACTAGGCCTTTTCTCCAGGGCCAATCCCGTGCTGAACCTCCCCACCAAGGACCTGGGCTTTGAGTCCCAATCCTCCTCCAGCGACCTGGACCATCTCAGGTGAGCAGTGTCACTCATAACCATGCTGGTTGGTGGTGGTAGTGATGGTGCAGGTGGTGGTGGTGATGGTGGTGATGATGGGTGGTGGTGGAGTTGGTGATGGAGCTGGTGGTGATAATGGTGGAGATAGTAGCGATGATGTGGTGGTGGTGATAGATGGTGGTAGTGATGGTGGTGTTAGTGGTGGCTGTAGTGATGATAGTGGTGGTGATAGTGGTAGAGGTGGTGGGAGTGATGGTGGTGATGATGGTGCTGGTGCTGGTGTGATGGTGATGATGGCTGTGATGGTGGTGGTGGTAGTGATGGTGATGATGGTGCTGGTGATGGTGTGGTGATGGTGTGATGGTGATGGTGGTGGTGATAGTGGTGGAGATGGTGGGAGTGATGGTGGTGATGATGGTGCTGGTGATGGTGTGGTGATGGTGTGATGGTGATGGTAGCTGTAATGGTGGTGGTGATGATGATGGTGTGGTAGAGAAGAAGGTAGAGGCAATGGTGGTTCTTGACCACAGATAGGGAGGACTGGGCCTGCCAACTGTCTGAATTCCATCATCTCCCCCATAGCCTCAACTCCCTGGATGACAACTCTGTGGACCTGGGAAAGACCAAGCAGGAAATCAAGGCAAGATGGGGGATTAGTTGTTGCCTGGGGATTCTGACCTGGGGTCCTTCTCTGAAGAAGTGGGGTCAGGACAGAGCAGAAGGGTCTGCTTCTGACCTAGCCTTTCTGCTCCGGGCCCTGAGACACCTTATGGCTTTGGAATGGGGTCCAAGCCTTGCTCCTCTACTATTCACTGTGACCCGGGGTGGGTGACTTCTCCCTCTGGTTTGTTTTCTCACCTGCAAATGGGGATCAGAACACCAACCATGTAGGGCTGTTGTGAGGATGAAATAAGAGTGGGTATAAAAACCACCTGGCACAAAGTAAGTGCTAAATTATCTGCTTCCCTGCCTTTATATCCCGTATAGAAGAGCTGGCAGGGTGGGGGGAAGAGATGTGGAGGTGAATATAACCTAGCAAAGGAGAGAAGGTAGGCTCAAATAAGCAACAGTACCACCATTTGTTCAATAAGTCAGCTGGTTCTATTGGCTCAAGAGTTCGCACGGCCTGGCTGCTGCTTAGAATCACCTGGGGAGCTCTTTAGAAATACTGGCTCCCAGCCCAGGGACTCTGATCCGAGGGTTGAGGTGGGCCTGGCATGAATGTGCTGTGAAAGCCCTGGGGTACTCAGTGCGGGCAGGATTGAGAAGCAGGAGAGGCGTGGATGATGCATCCTCACCCTGCAGGGGTGGGCGCCAGAACCGGAAGGAACTACCATCTCTCCTTCCCACTTTGAAAACCACCACTGGAGAAGCGCTAGGGCCCACTGAATGTTAATAGTCTGAGGTTCTGTGTGTGGGGGGGAGCGGTTAGGTATCCACGGCCCTCTGGGTCCTACCCTCAGCTAGGTCCTGCTCTCTGGGGCTCCCCACCATTCCTTCAGTGCTTACTTTCCCTTGAGAATGCCTTACATGGAAGGACTTGGCCAACCAAAGCCTCTCATGGGCATTAAAATACCAGACTGTTGCACAGAGGTCTGGCTGTAACATGGAGGCCTCCAAACAGGATCCCAGGATGGGAGTCATAGATGGCAATCTGGGCTGCCAGGCAGTGGTGGAGGTCTCTGGGTAAACAGCTCATCTCTGGTTGAAGATGGGTTGGAAAACTCCCACGGACATGTTTAGGGGTAACTGAGGCAGAAGGAAATAGTCTTGCCTGCCAGAGCTGGTGGCCAGACAGGCAGAGGCCAAAGCTGCTCCCCAGAGGGCAATGCAGTCAGGGGCCCCAGCAGCGGGGCTGGACCTGTGAGCTGGGAAAGGCAGAGAGCGCTGAAGAGTCTGGAGAGGGAGGGGGCCAGGCCACCAGGAGCCTTCAAAGCCAGGAGAGAGCCATGACTGTCCTGGGATGGCAGGGGGTCATTATATTTAATGAGCAGGAGGCAGGCGTGGAGGCCCTGGGGCCTTCTCAGGAACTGGCTGCCCCTCTTCTCCCTTGGCTGAGTGGGGAACACAGTGGGGGGCCTTTTTCCTCAGATGCCTGGTGCCCTGACTCACTCAAGACCTCTGCGTTGGTGGGGGAGGTATAAGAAACCCAAGGGATTATCCAATCCTACCGTTTAAAACAACCAAGGCCAGGGAGGGGTGCTGACTTGCCCAAGGTTAGAACGCTTGCAAGTCAAGTACAGACTAGAACCCAGGCCGTCTCCAAGGCGAGTAGCATTTCCCTGGGCTGCACCGTGCCAACAGCTCCTGAGGGGGGTAGTGGCGAGGGCTCTAGGGAGCACAAGGAGAATGTTTAGCCTGACCTGGGGCCGCTCAGATGCTCCACTGTTTACCAAGAACAGCTCAGCCTGAAAAGCCCTGGTGGTCCCCCAGGGACGGTGCTGGGGCTCTGCCCTGTGGTGCTCTGCTGTGCAGTAGCGGAGCCCGGGGGCTGCCTGGGCTACAGAAGGGTTCAGTTCTGAAGTGTGTCTGTTTGGCTGTGTGTGTGCAGCATGTCACAAGGGGCGGGGTGGCGGTGGGGGGAGGGGGGGGGCAGGGAGATGTGTGAGTGTGCACCACAATGAACAGAGTGAGACCCTGGCTGCAGAAGGAGATGTCAGATTGCACCAGAGGTAGTGTTGTGCTGTGGGCAAACTTTTGAGCCAGCAAGGCCAGTGGCCCAAACCCTGCGCTGCCCCTCCCTGGCCATGAGCACCCTCTCAGCTTCAGTTTCCACATCGGTAAAATGGGGCACACAATTCCTCCCTCACGGGATTCCTGTGGGTACTTCAGGTAATGGATAGACTGCGCCATTGACGCAGCCTGCCAGCACGGTGCCTGCCGTGGGGTGCAGGTGGCAGGAACTTTGCTGGACTGGCTCTTTGGCACAGGATCCAGGGCCTGGCATTATTCAGGACTTAAGTGCTGCTGTGTCTGTGGATGGGGCAAAGGCCAGAGTAGTTCTCCCATCAAGTGAGGTCCAGCCCTTCACTTGGGTCCATCCGTCCCTCCAGTGGCATGGCCACCTCTGGGACACAGCCAGAGAACTGAGGCCCCAAGAGGAGCAGGGTGGGACTACGGCCAAGGAGCCATCTGTCTGTGTGGGCTAGAAGGCCTACCCACTTTCTCAGGGCCTGGAGACATCACCCCATCTTGTCCCTGCCCTTCACACCTCTCCTCTCTCCCCTTACAGAAGGAGCCCCCACAAAGTCCAATGGAGCCGGACGCAGAGCCCCTGAGCGTGGTGCTGTCAGGAAGGACGGCGGGCACAGGTGGACAGCAGCAGGCATTGTCCTTCACCAATGCTGGCCTGGATACCACCGACCTGTGATGGGCCCCTGCCACAGAGCCCTGCATGGGCCCCACTCTTCTGGTCTACCTCGGAAGAGATTCTGTTTCCCCCAAACTATACCTACCGTCCCTGCAAATAATAATATACTTCTACTGTGTTGCTCTGCTCCCTTCTGCTTGCAGCCAATCACAACTGATGAGAGTTGGGGGAACATTTTATTACCAATGTATACTGTGACAGTTTGTAGCCAAAAACCAAGGGTGGGGGGGAGGGGACTAGGTGTTCTGAGTGGTCTTCAGAGACTTGTGGGGCTCACAGCACAGGGGGTACAAGAGGCTGGAGAGGGAGGCCTTTAAAGGACAACCGTGGTTGTAGAATGAGCTCTCCGTTCCGCCCCAATACCCAAGACCAGCTGCCACTCAGTCTGCCTGTGGCCCAAGACCTGTAACCCAGACCTGTCCGAGACCCTCTGACCCTTCTGTGACTCTCCTTTCAACTGCAGTGCCAGGGCACTCCTGCAGCTGCCTCCCCCATCAGGGGATTGTAAGGAGTGTTCTGCGAGGGTGGACGTAGGGCTGGGAGTTGGGCCAGGTGAGGGAGAGACAGGAATTGGGGGTGACTACCAGCATGCAAGAGATGCCTGGGCCATGGGGAAAGCCCGTGGGGAGGACACAATTTCACACACGCCCAGGGCCTCACATTCAGAGCCTTGCACACTCCGGGGCCTCACACACCAATCCTTGCACACTTGGAGCTTATGCACAGTCTCTCTCATTCTGGGGACCTGGCTGACACTGACAGTCCACCAGCTCTCCGCGCTCAGGGCTGGGGTACTGAGCAGGTCCCTGAGGTCGCCCAATGTGACTGGGAGGGAGTGGAGCTGAGAGCTGTGAGGGGACAGTAGGGAGTCAGGGCTGGGCTCCTGGACTCATGGCCAGGAGGGAGCTGGGTAGAGAGGGTTCATTTGTGTGGGAGGGGCGGGAGCTGGGAAAAAGAGGATGAGAAGGCCCTAGATGAGGCTGCCCATACCTTGGAGGCCTGTGGCGTGTCCAAGGGATCCCTTCCAGGGATCTGGGGTCAAGAAGGGAGCCTGAGAAGGGTGGAAACCCGGGCGTACAAAAGGGGAGCTGATCACTCGGCCGTGGGTCCGGCTCGTGAGCAGCACCGGGGCCGGCGCACGCTCTGCAGCAGCGCGCGGAAGAGGCCTGGCGGGCGCTTGGCGGCACCCTCGGGGGGCGCAGCACGCACCGAACCTGCGCGGCCAGGGCCCAGGCGGGCGGCTGCGGGCAGTGCAGGTGCTCCTTGGCGGCCGTGCTCCTCGATCTGTCGCTCCAGATGTTTCTGGATGGCCATGCCCAGCACCTCCACCTCCATGGAGGCGCCGTACACCTCCCACGTCATGCCCTTTTCGTCCCAGCTCACGTCGCGCACCGGCTCGGCCGCCTCCGGGGGCGCCATGGCGGCAGCCAGCGCCGAGCCCGGCCGCACCCGCACCTCGGGGAAGGCGGGCGGCGCGGTGGACGGTACGGCGGCCTGCGGCGTCATGGGTCCAGTGGCGACAGAGCGCGTCTCGGCGGCCCCCAGCGACACCTGCAGGCCCGCGTCCCGACGCGAGGGCGGCCTGGGCGCAGGGCTGGGCGCGCGCGGCGCCGCCTGGAAGCTGAAGGCCGGGCCGCTCGCGCCATCCTGCGGAGACATGGGGCTCACCGCGACCGACACGCAGGCTTGCGCGCCCGCCTGCGTGCCCGCGTCCTCGCGCGGCGGCGGGGCACCTGCATCCCACGACGGCGCCTTAGTGAAGTTGTCACGAGTCCGCGGGCCCGGCGCGGGGGCATCGGCTTCCGGGCCAGGGCTGCCCCGGGCCCCGGCGGCCGCGGGGTCCTCCCGGCCCAGGCTGCAGGCCTCCGTGCTGACCGCCGGCGCTGGCTGCGCGAGGCCCCCGCCGCTCCCGGCAACCGCGACCGAGGGAGAAGTGGCTGAGCCGCAGGCTTTACCATCTGATTTCCTGCGCCCGGAGGGGGCCTCCGCCTGCTCCAGAGCCGGAGGGGGCACATTCCCCAAGGACGGGGGCTCTGCTCTTCCCGGGGGTGGCGCAGGGTCGGCCTTCCCCAGGGCCACAGGCTCCACCTTCCCGGAGGCAACAGGGCCTGCCTTTCCTGAGGCTCCAGGATCCTCCCTCTCCAGGGCCAGTGGCTGCTCCTTCTGCAGAGACGCAGCCTCTGCGTTTCCTGACGCAGGGGGCCCCTCATGCGCAGGGCGCTTTGTGTCTGCGTTCCCCGAGGCCCCGGGGCCCACCTTTGTGGAGTTCACAGGATTCCCCTTCTCGGGAGGCCGAGCACCCACCTTTCCCTCCGGGCCGGCATCGGCTTTTCCCGCGGGTGCCAGGGCTGTTTTCCCTAAAGCTGGGGGCGCCACCTTTCCTGAAGACACGGAGTCCGCTTCGCCCCTGCTCCCAGGGTCCACCCTGCCCAGGGCGGGGTCGGCCTTCCCTGAGGTGGAGGGACCCACCTTTCCAGAGGCCACAGGGCCTGCTCTCTCTGAGGACAGCGGTGCTGCTTCCCCCTGAGCCACTGCCCCAGTTTTTACAGAAGAGGAGGGTCCCGCTGTTCCCAAGAACGTGGGGTCCCCTGGGACCGAGGGCACAGGGTCTGTCTTTCCTAAAGATTCAGGGTTCACTTTCCCAGCAGGCGATGTTTTTCTGTTTCCCACAGAAATGGGGGGGTCCACTTTTCGGGAAGACACCGAGTCCTCCTTTTCTGGGGATACAGCTCCTGTCTTTCCCACAGATGCCAGTTCAGCCTGCCCGGGAGACAGGGGCTCTGGCTTTTCCGAGGACACAGGATCCACCTTCCCCAGAGGCACTGGACCCACCTTGCTCAACGAGCCAGCATCCACCTGCCCAGCAGGCCCGGCTGTTGTCATGCTCACAGACGTGGGAGCTCCCTTTCCTGAGGAGGAGGGCGCCATCATTCCCAGGAACCGAGGGTCCTCTTCTGTAGAGGACACCGTGTCCGCATTTCCCATGGATACAGGATCTGTCATCTCCACGGGCCGGCCCCTTCCTGTCGCCCCCGGAGCCACTGTTCCATGGGACACAGGCTCCATGTTGACCGGCGACCTTGGAGTCAGCATTGCCAAGGAGCCAGGATCTGTCTTTCCTGCAGTTGCAGGCGGGGTGTATTCCAGGGACCTGGGGTCCTCCTTCCCTGCGGGCCCAGGGTCTCTCCTTCCCAGGGACACAAGATCTGCCTCGCCCGCCGGTGCAGAACCCACCTCTTCTGGGGACACAAGGAGCTTCTGTCCTGAACACCCGGGCTCCTCCTGTCTTGGGCACGCAGGGCCCACTTTGGCCGAGGATACAGGATCTTCCTTTTTTGGGGTTCCAGGATCCATCCTTCCAGAAGCCACCGGATCCCCCTTTCCCAAGATGGCAGGCTCTGTCTTTCCGATGAACATGGGACCTGCCTTTCTCAAGGACCCGGCATCTTCCTTTTCTCTGCCAGTGGAATCTGCCTGCTTTGAAGGCGTGGAGTCCAGCTTCTCCAAGGACATAGGCTTTCTGCTCTCCGAGGATGAGGGGTCAGTTTTCGCCGAGGACACATGCTCTGGCTTCCCAGAGGAGGTGACTTCTGGTGTCCCTGAGATCGAGGCTCCAAGTGCTCCCACTGTCTCTTTCGTGGCTGCCTCTTGGGGAGGGATGCAGGTCAGAGATGGGCAGGCCAAACTCCTGCCAGGATCCTCAGAGCAGGAGGCCCCTTCCCCAGTTCCACTGGGGTTGCTGTGTCTAGAGTCCATGCCTGGGCTTGGGGCAGGGGTGTGCCTGGGGGGTTCAGGGCTGGCCTTTTGTGGGGAGGAGCAGTAATCCCTCATGGCCGGGCTCCCAGCCCCCAGGCTCCCATCCTGTGGGCAGCAGAGGGCTGTGGGCTGGGGTCCTCGAGGGCTGGGGTCCTTTCGAAGCCACTGGAGCCAGGCCGGTTCTTCAGCACTGTCCACCTGCCCTCATGACCGTGCTTCAGCCCCAGGCTGCTGTCGGGCTCTGAAACACAGAGGGAGTAGACTCAGACTCAGGGGAGACCCAGCGGAGAAGAGCCTCCATCCGGGGCTCCTCTCTCTCACCCTCCTCCTCGCAGCCAGGCCTCCTCACCAGATTCTCTGCCCACGTTTGGTCCCCTCATGCCCCGAGGGCTGGGGCTAAAACCACTAACCCATCCACATCACTGCCCCCGGTGACCCTGACTTCCTAACATGGCATTCAGGGCCCTTCACCATTTGGCCACAGTCTAACTTCCGTTACCATCACCCTTCCTTGTCAGCCCACCCCATGCTGCTAGAAATTATGCTTTTGTCCTCTAGCCCAGGGGTCACAGACTCTGGGGCTAGGTAGTAATTTAAGTGAGGGAAGCAGGCTAAGTATAAAACAATAGGGAGTGGAAAAGACTGTAGCAAACCGGAGAGTGTATGACCCGTCTGAGGGGAGAACCACTACTTCACCAGCCAAGTATTGTTCTGAAGAAATGCATCCTGGTAGCACCAGTGAGAAGTGGGAAATCCAGCACTTTAGTGTAAAATGTCCTAATTAATTCAAGATTAAAAAAAAACACAAAACCAACTACGACACTCTGGGGGCTACACAAAATATGTCTGTAGGCTACCAGTTATGTCTGTGTAGGCCCTGGGGAGCTGTGAATAGTTTATAGTCTAAGAAGGGATATAGTCCAACATGTGTGTTTTCAAAGATTGCTCTGGAATGGCGTGGAGGCTGGGGCTGGAGGGGAGGGGCTGGCCAAGGCTTATGAGGAGGCTGGTCAGTCCTTCATTCAATCTCATTCATCCAGTCCTTCATTCATTCACCCAGCCCCTCTCTTCAGCGGACCTGAGCAGCCGCAATGTCTAGATGAGAGGTACAGGAAAGGTCCTGGGGAATGGGAGTCGGCAGGATTGAGAGCTCTGAGGGAAGAATGACAGGAACCAGCTGGCTGTAGGGGGTGCTGGTGGGGGTGGACCGCAGGATTCTGGCTGGGGGTGGGTGGGTTGCCAGGCAATGGTGCTGGGCAGGAGATGTGGGGAAAGGAGGAGCTGCGTTTTGGACAAGCCGAGTGTGTGGTACCTGGGGGACAGCCAGGGAGAGCTTCTGGCAGGCAGCTGGGTCTGCGAGCAGCTCGGTTCCATTGCACACTCAGCAGCCACAGCGAGCCTGAAGCCCGCTCTTCCTGCCCTCATCTCCAAAGCCACCTGCTGCTTCTCAGGCCCAAATCCCTAGAGTCACCCTTAACTTTCTCCACAGCCCACATCCCATCCATCAGCAAAACATAATGGATCTGCCTTCAAAGTATACCCAGCCTCTGCCCGCCACCCTGAGCGTAACCCGTACCATCTCCCCCTGGATCATCCCTGCTTTTTTCTTCATCCCAAGCAGCTCATTCTCAACACAGCAGCCAGAGGGATCGTAATAGGACTCAAGGCAGATCCTGTCCCTCTTGTGCTCAGAACCATGTAAGTGTCTCCTCAACCTTATAAGTTAAAGTAACTTTCTTATAATGGCCCGTGAGACTCTGCATTTTCTGGCCCCAGTACCTCTCCTTCGATTTGCTGCTTTGGCCATACTGGCTGCCTGGCTGATCCTCGAACACCCCCTGCCCCAGGGCCTTTGCACTGGCTGTCCTCTCTGCCTGGAATGCTTTTCTGCCCGATATCTGCATGGTCTGCTCCCTGTATAAAACAGCCTCCTCCCCGACACTGGCTGGAGCTCTCATCTCCCTTGCCCTGCTCCGATTTTCTTCTCAGTACCTGTCATCATCCGACATATTACATTGGTTTATTGCTTATGACTTGGCTTTACCATTAGAATGTCAGCTCCATGACGGCGGGGGAGGGGGGGTTTGTTGCATGTAGTGATGTATCTTCAGAGTCAAGAAAATGACTAGCAAGTAGTAAGCTAGTAGCTCCCAATAAATATTTATTGAATGAATGACTGAGTGATCTTTTAAGATGTTGGTCCAACCATGCGATTCCATGCAATTTACTTCCCCTGGCTCTTGCTGGGGAAGTAAATTGGCTGTAATCTTTTTGGAAGGACATTTATCAATTTCAGTGCACATAGCATCTGGGCCAGCACGCCCACCTCCAGGGATGGCCTTGAAGACAGACTGGTGGTGTACGGAGGTGCAGGAGGACATGGCTGGTGATGAGAAGTGTGTTCAGAAAATGCAGGACAACCACTGGGACCCCTCATAGCTGTCAGAATGTGTGGAGTGAAGAGGAAGGATGCCCAGAATAAAATAAGTGAAAAAGCCAGGGGACAGCATGACCAGTGGGACCCCATGCATGTAGCCAAGGTAAAGGACAGATTCACATTTATGGTTTAGTTATGAAGAGAACGTTTCTAGAAGGAACATTCATGTAATTTTTAGTAGTGATTGCCTCTGGAAAGTGAGACCAGGGATTTGGAAATGGAAGAGATTTTTTTGTCTGCCCCTCTATAAAGTTTGAATTTGAGTTATTACTTTTTTATTTTTATTTCAGCAATGAAGAGAGAGAGAGAGAGAGAAACATCAATGATGACAGAGAACCATCGATAGGCTGCCTCCTGTATGCCCCACATTGGGGATTGAGCTCGCAACCTAGGCATGTGCCCTGACCAGGAATCGAACCATGACCTCCTGGTTCATAGATTGACGCTCAACCACTGAGCTACACTGGCCGGGTGAGTTATGACTTAAAAAAACAAATAAACAGGAAAGACAGAAACCTTTAATGACTCTCTACTACCTTTAGGGTCAAATCCAACTTCATAATGTGCTTTCAAGCCCCTGCAGACTTACTGACCTGCTGGGCTGTATCATTCATTATGTACTTCCTCCCCCAAAGCACATACATGCACGCACACGCATGCACACACCCATTGTCACTAGCACAGACATCCATTTCACTCAACCCCCCGTATTCACGCACGCACACACACACACACACACACCCATATCCACGTACACATATATATATGCATACCACCTCTCTGGGTTCCTCTATGGTTCACATCTCTCTCATCATGGCCTCTACCCTCCTGCCTGGCTCTCATCAACCTTCAGGTCTCAGTTTCAATGCCTCCTCCTCCCCTGTGAGCCTTCTCTGTCCGCCAGCTCGCTCAGGGTCCCACAGCCTCCAGTTTTCCCCTAACCAGACTCATGTCACTCTGCACTTACACCTCCGGGTCTCCGCCTAGACTTAGGTCCCTGGATGGGGACATAGCTCCTACTTTCACCAGTGGGTCCGCAGGCTTTGGGCTTATGGGACTCGAAGTGGTGGTGGGGGTCATCACCAAAATTGGGACACAGGGGGAGGGGTAGTCTTGCAGACAATGGCGGGCACTGGGTCTTGGGAAGGTGAACTGGGTTGCCTGTGGGACTTATGGGGGAACGTATAGGAGCAGCTGTGAGACAGGATTTTATTGTTGTTGTTGTTAATCCTCACCCCAGGATATTTTTCCCATTGATTTTATTTTTTGAGAGAGTGGAAGGGAAGGGGGGAGGGAGGGAAAGGTGGAGGGAGGGAGGGAGGGAGAGAGAGAGAGAGAGAGAGAGAGAGAGAGAGAGAGAGAGAGAGAAACATCAATGCAAGAGAGACACATTCATTGATTGCTTCTGGCATGTGCCCCAACCAGGGTTGGGGATAGAACCTGCAACCCAGGCATGTGCCCTTCCTTGATCAGGAACTGAATTTGCAACCCTTCAATGCACGGGTCGACACTCAACTACTGAGAAACACTGGCCAGGGCTCTGAGATAGGTTTGAAGCACCGAGAGGTCTGGCTGGAATTCTTTGGATCTGGTGTTTAGCAGCATAAAAAAGAGAATGAGGTGGAAGGTCACTGGCCCACAAGGGTCAGGCAGGCATCAGATTGGAGTGGTATGGACTGTGTCCATCTTCATTTTTTGGCTCTAGATGGTGAAATGGGCACAGGGAAGTATTTTCCTCCCATAAGAAAAACAGCAGAGTAAGTGAGATGATTCAAGACTCCTGATTCAAGTGGGAATGGTGGGGTCTGTGGTAAACTAGAGAGCAATCGCCCCTTCTAGCACTGAGTTCTACTAGCTGATTAGGAATTCATTTATTCTTATTCTTATTCTGATTAGGAATTCATTTATTTTTTTAGGGGGGGGAGAAGAAGAAGAAGGAGAAAAGAAAAGAGAGGAGAGGAGAAGAAAAGAGAAGAGAAGAGAAGAGAAGAGAAGAGAAGAGAAGAGAAGAGAGAGAAACACTGATGTGAGAGAGATACACCAATCAGCTGCCTCCCCTACACACTCTGACTGGGGATTGAAGCCACAACCCAGGTATGTCCCTGAGAATCGAACCTGCGACCTTCTGGTGCACAGGATGATGCTCCAATCAACCTCACTGGCCAGGGCAGGAATTCATTTATTAATCCACATATGCATTGTTCTTGGTACTAGGGATACAGCAGTGAATAAGAAACGCATGGTCCCTGCCTTCCAGGTGTGGAAAGATTGGGGGACAAGCAATCCACAAGTAAGCAAATAAATCATGTAATTTCAAATAATAATAGATGCTGTGAAGACAAAGGAGTGGGCGGCTGGTTTAACACATGCTTGAGGAAGGCCCCTCTGAGGAGGTAACAGCTGAGGCAGCCATGAAAGGCCTGAGGGGCTGGAGTGGAGCTGGAAGGGGGAGAGGGAGGAGGCATGTGGGAGCGCAGCATGCAGGCCATGGGGGGAGGGGGAGGCGAGGGCTTATCCTAAGGGTGCTGGGAACCCCTGGAGTGTCTTAAGCAGGGAAGTAAAGGTAGCTCTTGCATGGCCAGCTCTCATTTTTTGAGCAAAGTTATCAACTTGGATTTTTCTATATTTTAAATGTTGCTTAATTTTAAAAATACTACACAGGCCAGAGAACTCACTT